ACCTTCAAGCCGGTATGTCACGCAGCAGATGTGCAGTGAATGAATTCTTTAATGCCCGTCACTTCCTGCAAATACATAAACCTCAACACTCAACCCTACATCCAAAATAACAAATAATTCAATAAAACTTTCCGGTTAAAACTTTGTTTCCTTTGGATTTGAAAATTTAGGACTCTGAATTGCTTTCCGGACCTCGTTCAGCTGGTTTTAACTTTGAACCAAAATTTTTACATACAAATGTCTTGCAGCCTTAATTAATTTAAATGCTTGAAAAAAAAAAATCACTAACAAATATCAAATAACTGTGGTTGCTTATTGACCCTAAGTTTATTGATGACAACAATCAATTACTAAGTCAAATACTTCAAACCTTTGTTTGACAAGTTCTGTAATCACCTAAGGACAGAAGTGTTTGAAATGCTCTTTTGATGCCATGCTATGCAACTGCAAGGATTCTACATTGGTTTGGTCCTGAAATGAGCAAAATCCTGATGTAAGAAACCACAGAAACAAAATACCACAAAATTCCGAACAGCATCTTGAATATCATGTCTTGCAAAACCATCCTGAATATCATATCAACTGGGAATAGTTTGTGGTTGGAACTGTAACTGTTCCTGTAAAGGAACAATAGGCACTATCATTTAACTAGCTCAATTAGCTTATACAAACACAACAGATAATTTGAGGAGAGCTCAATACAAGGGAACCATACTTCTTGTGGTATGGCCCAGGAGCATGAAAAATCATTACCCTATAAAAGGAGCAATCACATAATAGAAAGCCATACCATCCCTTGCATTCTTTGTTGAGTGATGTAATGAGCATCATGTGGTGGGGCAATAGGGTTCAATCGTCCCTGCAACAAGATGAAATCACACTGATAAGGAGTTGTGCCAAAGATAGAACATAAACCAACAAGCTTGTTAAACGATGTGATTTATTTTCTATGTTGATTATTAGAAGTATATAAGAACCAAATAAGATTCAGATTTAATGGGTTGAACTATTTGTGAATAAGCTTATAGGTGAAATCCTTAAATAATCATATAAGGACATTCTTCTAGGGGCAGGGGAAAATCTCATACCATTCCCTGCACAAGTTATTGAGTGCCAAAATAGATATTAAGAGCAGGAGTTCTTGAATTCAATTGTTCCTGTAAAAACAATCCAAGAATTTTAGAAAAATTACTCATGGTAAAAAGGTACAAGTTTTCTTTTCCATATTATGGTCACTGTAAGACTATACCATACCATCCTACAAATGCTCTCTTGTGACTCATAAGAACATTCAAGACTCAGCACTTGTATATTTGATTGTCCCTTCAGCAATTATGGAATTCACATCAAGATATTGCTTTATAATAAAATTGACAAGCAAAATTTCTTTGAGGAATAGAAGTATGTTAAAACAAGGATACAACCACCAATAACCATTTATTGCCAGCTGTCAGGCATCCCAGAGTTTGAGATCTCTGTTTCTCGATATCCCTAAATGATACAGAACAGATATCATGAAAATCAAAGAACTTGGTAAAAAATTACAATTTAATAATAATTTAAAAAAAAAAAAACTCCTTGACCTGTCCTTTATGGGATGTATTAATCTTTTTTACTGCCTTAGTAGTGCTGTTACTTTGGTTCACTTCTTCAAAGTGATGAGGGCCTTGAGTTTGTGGTAACATTGGTCCTGTTACACTCTGAATTGAGTAATTGACACTCTCACATTTCCTCAATGCTTCATCCAGAGCATCGAGTACAATATTTAACGCTCTTGAGAAAGAGACCCTTCATCACCCAATATAAAGGCTCGTTGGCAAAGATCATTATAATGTTGCAGTCTACTCTCAAGGACATCTGACCGTTTTCCTGTTGTTTGTCTCTTATTTGCATCCTTTGTCCAATATTTCAATATATGTTGTGAAGGGATACTTTGCACCCCAGACAACTGTAGAATAATCAGTATATGTCGAACAAGGAAAACCATTAAATTCAACATAAACAAGATATATTTGATGTTGTATCATTCCACACCAAAATGAAATGTTGATCTTTTTCTACGTCTTGAACCTTGAAAGTTTGAGTGCCTCCCTCTTCACTTTCTTTTCTTGGATGACAAGCAATCCCTCCCAAAACCTCAACCTGGAATTTTTTAAATATTGCATGTGTTTACAAAGGTGCCGTTTGTTTTTCAAAAAGGGATAGAGATTTCAATCCAAGTGGTTTATGTCAAGTTTGCAAATCAGCTTTAGCTTCCTCTTCAGACTTCTCTTGCAAAATTGTTTTATACTGATCTAAGAACTCTTTTAACATAGTTTTCCTTTGCAGATATTTTTCAAAGAGAGAGCTAACACTGTCAGACTGTTGCACTGTAGATATCCCTGCAAGAAAAATGACTCATGTAGGTTGGTACCAATTGTTGACGATCTTCATATAATGATTGAAACCAGATGTCATTTCTTAAATTCAATCCATCAACCAATTGCCACCATTTCTTTTCAAACTGTTCATCTGTATAAGATTTAAAGACGCATTCATCAAATTGGGTCATGAAACTTTCCTGTTGGCCCGTCATATAAATAAGCCTCTCAGGTATCTTCGCTCACAATATGCACAAGCAAAAACAATGTCGGGAATCAGGAAGGACCTCTACTACAGCTTCTTTCAACGCTTTGTCATGATCAGTTGGTATTACTTTTGGAGCATGTCCACCCATTGCTCTAAGCCATGCCCGCATGAGCCAGACATATGTTAATTTAGTATCATCAGCAACTAATGCACACCCAAGTAACAAAAACTGAAAGAGATGATCGACACCAATAAAGGTAACAAATGATAATTTATATTAATTCTTGATATATGCAGTGTCAAAAAAAAAAACCACATCATCAAAATAGCCATAATCAAGCCTTCCCTTGGCATCAACCCAAAACCTGTTTCTCTGGTGCTCCTCGTCATTGAGATCTATAGCATAAAAGAAGTTGGGATTTCATATTGCATATAGAGAAAATGATCAAGCAAAATTTTAACATCCCCCTCCTCTAAACCCAAGATCTGACAGCCACGTAATTGATTTGTGTCACCACCCTTATGATTCTCAAGTTTCTTGTGCCCACCTGATTGTCCTTGTCTAGACATGGAAACATACATTTTTTTGGTTCTTCCAGGGAGAGCATGTAATGTATAAACATTAATGTCACCTAGACCTAAATTTCTATGACTTCTGGAATAATATGCCTGGTCTGCGAATATATCATGGTTATGCTCCTTTATGAAACCATGAACAATCCACCTTCCATCTTGCCTTCTCTTAACATGCATGCCAACTTTGCAGTCCGTTTTTGACCATGATCGACTAACTCAGCCTCTTTTCTTCTTGACAGGAATGGTTGTTGCAATAGCAGCACTTGGAACAGGTGCTGGAGTCTCCACTCCCCCAGACTCTTGGTCATTTCCATATCTGGAACATACAAATTTTGCATCAATAAACTTTCCAGATATTCCTGATCAATGGCTAACTTTTATTATAATGGTGAAGCCTACAGATTTGGCATATTCTTTGCAGAATGAAAATGCTTCCTCCTTTTATTCAAATTCCATTCCATCACAAGGCTCTAAACTTTTTACAGAATTCAAGTTTATTTCTTCTCCAGCACCTAATACTGCTGCACCAACATGCGGTCCCGCATTTTACCTTATCAGTCCCGGCAGTTTTAATAGAATTCATACAGAGACTGGTTCTGTCTCTGTCGTGTCTTCCATCACCACTATCCATCATGTTAATGTTAGCATTAGGAGTGTTGTGTTCCTTATGATAGTCTCTGGAAGGGCGTTCAAGATCAATCCCCGTGGGAAGCATTAATGAACCTTTTCTTAAAGCAAAGTACAAAAGAGAGACAACCCACACGTTAGAATCCGCTTCAAGAGGGAGACATACATACAATCAAGTACTGAAAGTAAACTTCACAAATCAATATAAAATACTTCAAATTCAACTCAAGTGAGGAAGATAATGCAAATCCAACATATCTTAGCACAGTTAAATTCAATAAATACATGAAAGGTTGAAACTTTGACAACCATATCAGTAATTGGGTCGTTAGCAGACATTATTAGTAATTCTTTAAAAAAAAAAAGACAAATTGAGAGAAAATTTCAATCAAGAAGAAATAAAGTAACGCAAGAAGGAAAATAAAACAAAATTATTGAATACTGTACAAATTGAAAGTTAAGTAAGTAACTAAAAAAAAAATTAAAGAAAGGGCGAGAGTGAGAAGTTTACCTGAGTTGAATAAGGAGGATTTACCTATAATTTTAAACAGAGAAATTGTTGATGAATTGAGTAAGAGACAATTTTTTTTTTTTTTTTTTTGGGTACTAGGTTGTGATTTTGGGTAGGGCACTGACAGCATAAGATAAGAGGACCGGAGAACGCCGTACTCGTAATGTTCGGCTTTTTCCATACTCGCTGGTGTAGGCAGCCCGGCCCACATTAATCCAAGTAGTTGAGGTTGGAGTGGGCTGTCCCAAATTTATCAGCCCAAATGTAAGGAAAACGGGACAAATATAATAATATCCAAAATTTGAAGGCTGACTTTAATATATATATATATATATATATATATATATATTCTTCAATCCATGACATTTGAGTTTTATATCAAGAAGTTAAAAAAGGGTTTGTGTGGATGTATCCTATATATAAACACACTAACAACCTAGTCAATAATTGCTATAAAATACTTAAAACTAATTTCTTTTCTTTTTTTTTTTTCATTTGAGTTGCATGGTGTCTAATCCCCAACTCATTCTGTAAACCTCTCTCTCTCTCATCTTATGCCTTCAAAAAAACTTAATTCTCATTATGATTGCTTTTAATTAAATATATGAAAAATAATAATTAATTTATGAGAGTAGCAACAATTATTGATGATGATTAAATAAGAAAATTAAACTAATTTTTCTGATTATTTTCTTGTTTAACTTATTTATATAAATATTTAAAAAAAAAAAAAAGGGATTCTATCCTTGCTGAATAAGATGAGGCGAGAGAGACAGTGAGAAAGTTGTGTGCGTGTGTCACACCCCGCATGAGCTCCATCAAAGCCAAGGGTTGAGCACCAACACCAGGAAGTCAGACCCTCGTTTAAGCACCAGGCCGAACAAGTTCATGTCAGAGTTTGGCTGATGCTGAGCCTAAAATCCTTACGCAAAAAATTTCTAGAAAGCCCCGGAATGATAATGCTGGCATTTCATAAGTGAAGACTCTAGATAAATTAGGTACAGGGCCAATAGTGCAGGCATAGAACCTCTGCAAATGGGTAGATATACTGTAGCACCCAGACATGAGAGCCTGAAACTTTCTGAACCCAATGCACCACAGAGTGCCTGATACCAGTTCCCTTCTAAAGATTACCCAAACGACTGACTAGGGACCTTGGAACCCTCTAGAATGTAAATAAGAGTCACACACTTAGCTCCCTAACGACCACATAGACCAAGGGAGTTCATGTATAAATAGAGGTGTCCCCTCCCCTTAAGAACATACATGAGAGTTAGTAATTTTGTAAACCACCCAAAGCTACTCAAGCACAATTGTATAAAGCTATATTTTTTCAGCAATAAAGAATCTTGTATTCTTTCACCAAGTGACCTCTTAGTATGCACACCCACTAACTTTGTTAGAGGCTGACATAGATATACTTGAATGACAATTTCCTGCCTAAGGCCGGACGATTGCTAAGCTTAAAACAAAAGCTTGTGACACGTATGTGTATGTAAAACCCTACCCTCAGCTCGCAGGACTTAATCAATCAACCCCCGATCTTTTGTGTCTGTCTTCTTCACACTACAAATCTTACCGTACTGTTAAGTACTAGCATTTGTTCTTCAGAATTCAACAAAAATGGGTGTTTTTTCTTCACAGAAAAAGAAAAAGTGAGTCAGATATATGTCTACTACTACTACTAGTAGTATTTATCATTAATTACCTACACGACTATATTTTTGCTCTATTTGTATAATAACTTCACAAAAGTAATTGTACATAATCCTTCCAAAGTTTTACTAACATATCCCTGAATGGAATGGAGTTCATGCAATTTCTAATCAGCCTTTACCAGCACATAGTAGGAGAAACTATCTTCGCCTCGGAGAAAATTAGTAATATATGGGACATTTTTGCTCAAGTTTCCATTCTTCCGCTGCAGCAAAAAGTAACTAAATCATGTGTTTTATACCCACGATCCATGCCACACCAATCATTACTTTAATGCCACAATGTAAAAACTAGAATGATTTTTCGCATTCAGGAAGATAAATTTTACAATAATGTGAAACAAAAAATGGCACAGCTCAATCAGTTTGGAGAGAATATAGGTGGCAGAAGCTTACCGCAACATGAAAGAAACTTCCCTCCAAATTCTATCTCTTGGTTAGATCAGCCGAATGAAGCTCACTATGCAGATGAAAATTTCATTGTTTGCTCCACAAATCATAGCGAGCTCTCAAACTGGAGGCAAGACGATAAAAGAAACAATTGCAAAGCAGGCAACACTATATATTTCATTTCCTCTTACAGAAACTTTACACTAAAGATATCCTAAATGATCCTATATATGCTAGTTAATCACTCATTGCATCACGCCTACAAAAATTCGAGCAAGTCAAAGAATAATTATTTGTCACTGTTTACTCCTGTATAACAGCTATGTTTCATGGTCACTCACAGGATGATCTGACACAGTGCCTTCTGATGATATTTCCTCTACATCAAACCGTTCAGGATGAGAAGGATCAGACTGAGTCTTGCTAGCATCCCCACTATCAGGCTTATCTTGACTCTCTGAAGGCTGATCCTGTGCGTCAACGGACTGGCTCTGTTTAGCTTTCCCTTTGTTAGACACACCTTGTGAATCTGGATATCCAACTTCATTAACAGATTGTGGCAATGGAAGCTTGCTATCGAGTAAGCTAGAATTTGCCATGCCAGAAGTTGATAACAAGTGCGGGCCTGGGGCAACACAAGATGCTACCAGTTGAAGCACTTCAGGGGAGGGGGATAATCCCATGTTTGATTTTTTGGGTGGAATTAGATAAGCTGATGAAGACGAGGGATTCACCACACTTAAGTTAAGAGGAGGCATGTTGAGATCAGATTCAATATTAGGAAGCCCCACAGGTCCAGTTATTGATTGTGGAAGCAGTTGAAATGATTGGGCCAATGGAATTGAGCACGTTGGAGGGAGGCTACTACTTCCAGCTGCATCCGGTAGGGCCTGCCTCAACACATGGGACTTCCGTTTCTTTTTCTTCTTTAGACCACATCTCGGATCCTTGGGTTGAGAAGGAGGGGGCCCTGGTACCACAAATGGGGGAATGGTTGACTTATCTTCTCCATACAGTATGCGAACTGACTGAGCAATTGCTGACACAGTGGGCGGCAAATCAGGATCTGGTGTTTTGGCAGGAGCACTAACAGCTTCCAGAAGCCAGTGAGGTAACTTGTTCTTAGAAGAATTATCTCCAACTACTTCTTTTCCTTTCGAATGGGAAAGATTCAGCCCTTTAGTTGGATCAGGGAGAAACCCGGAGCTGGCAGATTCACCAGTTCCCCCATTATTGTGGGAATCAGGCAAAATATGTAGTGATCTATCGAGAAGACTAGGCAACTTTCCATCCTTCATTGAACCATAATCATCCTCCTTCCTGTGTAAATCAAAGCTACTGGAGCAATACAAACTTGAACCCAAGTTGCTGGCTCCAAAAGAGTTGAGAAGAAAAGGTTTCTCACTAGGTACATTGGATGATGAGCCTGGCCTATCAGAGGGTCCAGCAATCGAATCTCCAGAAAAGTTTGCATGAAATTTGCCAGGATTCCAAGATGGAATATGAGGAAAATGATCATTTTGTAAACCAAGTTGCTCTGATGGCTCAAAATGAGGCAGGCAGGGAGCTAGATCACTGAAACCCAATTTCATATCAGTCAGGTGAGTTTGAAATTTTGATGGTGCAACAAATCTACTACCTTGCAATGCCCGCGTCATCATTCCATCAGGAATGCTCGGAAACAAGGAAGAAGGTTTTGTAGTTTTTGCTGGCTTGGTGAATTTTGGTACTGAAAAAGATGGTCCATCCAAAATTTTCAGTTGTTCCTCCTCCCACCTAGTTGCTAAATCTTCTGAAGTTTTATACTTCGAAAATTTTAGCCTGGGGTCTCTAAGCATGGCATCCCAATTCCCTCGTCCATGTCTACGAACACCAATCCAGAGAAAATCAAGTTCATCCTCTGACCAGCCCTCTACCTTTGATTTCCTTTTATACAAGTTCCCAGATCCAGATCCAGTTCTCATCATAATATTTTCAAGCACCCTCCTATGCTTTTCAGGAAAAGCAGAAATGGATGGCAACTGACCCAAACCCAATGTAGGAGGCATTTCCCTCTCTTGATGATTATACCTAGGCACATCATGTGGAGGGAATTTCAAATTGGGCAGCAATGGCATTGTTGGAAAGTCTTGCATGGACTCATTTACAGCATCAAGCCTACTCCCTAAGGATAAGCTAGGCAATAGGTCATGATGTGATGTGGTCATGCTTTTGGTAGGAAAGGGAAAGCGGAGCAGCAATTTCTCATCAAATGGTAAATTAGGCAGTGACATTTTTTCCTTAAAATCAGAAAAACTACCACCAGAACTTTCTAATCGATCAAAAACTTTTCCTTGTGGAACAGCAGGAGCATACTGCAAAGAAACAAGTCTTGTCATCATACGTTTACATGGACCACAAGGTTTTGCATTTGAAAACTTAAAAAAAAAATAAAAAGAAAACACAAACAAATTGGAGAGGAAGAGAGAGTTACCAGGCTAAATGGGAGCCAACTATCTTGGTTTCCATTTTTAAGACGCATAACTTCTGATGATGCATCTTGCAATTTAAAATTGTCCAGGGTAGTCTCTTGACCTTTTGCTTCTTTCTCAGTTAAGGGTCCGGTAGTTGGAGCCAAACTGAATGGAAACTCTGGTCCAGTTTCTGGCCTGCTTTGCTTGCCATTTGATCTCAAGATGTTTCTATGATACGAGTCTGACTGATTAGCACTGGGGGCAAAAAGCCCAAGAACTGGCAACAAGTTGTTGCTTGGTAATGAATTTGTATAGCTTGTGCACTGATGATTGTTACTTGTAAGGATTATCTCAGGAGAAGACTGATGAAGAGAATTAACAGAAAGATCCAATTGACCGCCTATTTTATGTTTTGACAGCCTCTCAAACCTTAAAATTGAATCGGCCTTGCTTTTTGGTTCATCTGATGACTGAGCAAGTTTGTCATCCTCCAAGTCAATTACCAAACACTTTTCTCTATGAGGCTGTCGAACTGATTGATTAACATGATCCCCTTCTCTGTCATTCATGGATGGACACCGAGCTACTGACTGAAGTCCAGGAAATTCCTCACTTGGAGGAAATTCTTCAATTGCATTCCTCCTAGCAAGCCGTTCTTTTTGTCGAGCACGGAGTTTAGTACTGTCCAAAAAGGATTATAAAGTAAATTAATGCATCCACGATGTCAAATATTGAAAATCTATCCTATTAATTTACTTGAGAAAGTTAACCCAAATTGTATCTCTGAAAGTAAAAGATTGAGCATATAAATGACTGCCAACTAATTCAACGAGTTCCCATTAGGAGATCGTGTACATTCTTCTGCTGACGTACAACTGTTTAACCACAATAAATTCATTACCTGATTTAACAATCTATCAGAAAACAATGCATTCAAATTATTGCCAGCAAAGTAATTTTGACAATAGTATTTTGCAGGCATCTCAACAGAAAATTAAACAAGTGAAATTCTCGGAAAGAATGTGAACTTACTACTTTGCTTTAAGAGCTCGTCCCGCTGGTGTATATTCCCGCTCTGGCTCTGCTTCTGGCTCCTTTCCTTCTTCACCACCACTCTGCTTTTTAACAGAATAACAAGTTGCAAACGCCATGAATCAGCAGTACAAAAACTAATGTAGCATACTTACAGATTACAGGCTACTGAGCAAGCATGCATGTAGAATAATATAAGTATGTCCATATATTTGAAAATGTTTACATATTATTAAGGATCAATGAGAAAAGCAAGTTTTACATATAATCCATTGCAGAAAGCAAAGTGATGTACCTCACTCATTGTTTCATTGTGATGGGAAGCATATGCTTCTCTATAAGAGACGGCTTTCCTTTGTCGCTTCCCTCTACCAAGGGCGGCTTCCTCCTCACTTTGATACTTCTCCCACCTGTTACCCAGTAAATCAAGCAAGAAAGTTCAACACAAGGAGTCCAAAACATAAACTCAACTGCCAAGAGGGAACTGAAGTTTTTGACATTCATTATGATGACTAGTTTTGTTATTACTTCCTCTAACAAAAGGTCAATCGCATTTAATGTTTAAATCATTTCAAGTGGATTTAGTTTATTCTTATTTCCTATGAGAAAAGTTCATTTGAATTTAGTGTTCGAATTATGCATGACTTACTATAATTTATTCAAAAGTAGATACATCATAAGCTAATTAGATGGCTAAATTGCGGGAATGCTTCAAATTTAGCACACAAGATTTTTATAGATTAAATATTAAATGCATTGATTGTTTCCCAAAGAAACGAATTGCATTTAAAATAATGAGGTGTAAGAGTTGCTATTCTCACACCAAACATAAGTTAATATCTACTCGTTATTCTATTTTGACCACTCATTCTGTGGAATAGCATTTATTATTTCTGAACAGCCCCCCACAATAATTCATTTATCATGCAAGTTTTGTTTCATTCAAAAACAATGGCCAGTTGTGAATTGTGAATCATGCTATATCAAGCAGGGAAGTAAAAATTTTGGACTATATACAGCTATAAATTTCATCTCCTGTTGAAGCTCCATTGGACCTGTAGAATTACTACTATGTACAAAACCAAAAACCAAGATAGTGGAACAAAGAGCAGGAAATATGAAAGATCATAATTTCACATTAAAAAATCAGATTTGGAGGCAAAATTTACTTATCTCCAGGTACAATGCTGTAAAGATTTAGTAGCACCAAATAATGCCAAAGAAACTACCAAGACATTCTAAAAACTCAATATACAATCGGAAATTTCAATCACCCAAAACCTGAAATCTCAATAGTAAAAAAGCTCAATATCCAAATCTACTAGAAACTGGAATAACATAGCTATTTATAGCCTACATAAATAAAAAATGCCAAATTTAACCCCAAACTCCCTAATAATTCCTTAGATACTAAAAATTATGTTTGAACACAAAATATATATATATATATATCAATAAAACAGTCTCTTTATAGTTTAATCCATCTATAAGCATGTTCTTGTACTGCATCAGGCAGTCTAAACCTGCTACTGGCTCAGCTCCAGAACAGTGCAAGCAAAGAGAGCCATCCCTATCTAACTTAACATTTTCAGACAAAAGTTAAGGGTTGCATCTTACATAGCTTAGTGAGTTAACAACAATGTCTTTCCTAACATAAAATGAACAAAAGAAGGAAATTTTCCCTGGTGGAATGCTGGGAGATCCTCATAACTTCAACAAACTCAAATTCCTCACTGTTGACCTCATTCCATCACGCTAGTCAGTGCATAAATTTAATCATATTCTTAACTATTCTAATGGGTTTTTCTGTGCATCAAAAACTTAGATCTTCCTGTGCATTTTAAAGTAAGGAACCTTTAGTTCAACAGTTTTTTTCACAAAGAAGACATGGAGCGGAAAGAAAAAAGATCTTCACCTCACACGCAAAAGTCTGTCCCATTCATTTTGTTCAGTACCATTTAATACATTATCTTCTTTCTTCTCAGAATTCTGCACAGAAATATCATCAGCAAAAGCTGGAGGTGATTCAGCTCCGCCTGGTTCATCTGCTGTTTCATCATTCCATTCCACCAACTGCACATGAAGAAAATGACAAAATGTTCGATAAAACAAATAACAAAATTCTACTGCTTTCTTTGAAGTTAAAGTAAGTGCAAATGATAAAAACAGGAAAGATCTTATGCAACCAGAAATAAAGATAAATGACAAAATGTTCGATAAAACAAATAACAAAATTCTACTGCTTTCTTTGAAGTTAGAGTGACTGCAAATGATAAAAACAGGAAAGATCTTATGCAACCAGAAATAAAGATCAAAGACTAAGGACATTATTAACAACCACAAGAATTTTTGCAGAACAATAAGGTCTCATCAGAAGCCAGCTTTAAGATCCTACAAAATGGGGGAGGGGGGGGGATATAGATGGATTATGAAATAGAAATACATAGAATAAGCTATCAATTTCAACAATAAAAAATTCTCTCATATAAGCATGAATTCTAATGTAGGCCTATCTGTGCACCAATTAGGAGAAATGAGCTTTTGGATTTGGGAGAGACCAAAACTTCTAGAGGTAGACCAAGAAAGACGTTGATGCAAGTAATAAGAAATTATATAAAGATTAAGGAAGTAGATGAAAAAGTTGTTTTTGACAGAAATGAGTAGTGCAAGAAGATTCAAAACTACAAGCTAACATTATTCTTTTTTTTAACAATTCATACAACCAACCCTAGAGTTATGGGATACAAGGCTTAGTTTTTGTTGTTGTTGTATAAGCATGAATTCTCCAGGCAACCAAGTTTAAAAGTTAAACAGATGCAGTAACCTCAACAACAGACTCTAATAGTTGGCACTAACATGCAAGCTTTTATGCAAAAAAAAAAAAAAAATGCTTATAAAATGTAGACAATCAGTTTTACAACCTAAAGCTACAAAAAGGCTTTAGCCTTGCCAATGCAGTTCTAAACATTTGTAAGCAGGTACAGTTCGCAACAACTAAGGGGTAGACCCAGCAGCTTCTAGATTGACCAACCAAACCTAGTATTTTAAGCTCAACTTTAAAAAAAAATTAAAAAAAAAGCTTCAATTAAGTAGGACACTTCTATTGCAAACAGAAAACGTAGAAGCAATAAAACAGTAGCTTCAAGGGTTTTATGAAACAAATGCATCAGTTTGTATCAACTGATGAATGTATTAACATTAAAACCACACATCTCAACATGATATGAGTATAATACTTCACCTTTACTGCACCAAGCATATCATTCTCCAAATCACCCTCAAGAACATCAGTTGATACAGACTGAAGGTTTGAACGATCAAGCAATTTTGAAATTGCATTTTCATCCCACACAATCTTGTTGTTGCCATCCATACATTTGTCCTGGTACACATCTCCCAAACCACCACCCCTCTTCCGGTGCTTATGTTCTTTTTCCATTAACACATCTTCTTTGCTGCCATTACCTTCACCTGAATCTTTCCCGCTAGAAGAATCATTGAATAGTTCTTCAGTTCCCCACCGCAGAATGTCTTCCACTTCCTTTTGAGATCCAGACTTGTTGACAAACAGCTGATCAAGCATTAGCTTCTTTTTAGCAAGCTGCAAGATGCGCTCTTCTACACTGGCACGAACTACAAGCCTGTACACTAAAAGTCTGTTTGATTGTCCAATTCGATGTGCCCGATTCATAGCTTGGATGTCAGCATGTGGGTTGAAATCAGAATCATAAATTATAACAGTGTCAGCTGTGGCCAAATTGATCCCAAGGCCACAAGAACGTGTTGATAACAAGAAGACAAATCGGCTTTTATCTTGGTTGAACCTTGTTATGGCTGTTTGGCGATCAGCAACTGAAACAGAACCATCCACTCTCTCATATGTTTTAGGGCCAAATTCTATGGTCAAATAATCCTCAAGTATATCAAGAAGCTTAGTCATTTGTGAAAAAATAAGAACTCTATGGCCATCTCTATATAAGACTTTAAGCATGGAATGCAACAAAGTCAACTTGGCTGAAGCTTTTATACGCATTTCATGAAGAAACTCCACTGATCCAGACTCAGGCTCAGTACCTGGAATGAGATATGGATGATTACAAACCTTTCTCAGTTGCATCACAATGTTTAACATCGACTGCTGTGCAACCCCTTTTCCAATATTTCGTAATATCTGGTAGTTCTTAGTTAGCATTGCACGGTAGTATTCAGCTTGAATGGATGACAGCTCAACAGGCACCATTCGTTCAGTTTTAGGGGGAATATTTTGCATGGCATCCCTTTTAAGCCTTCTAAGCATATGTGGAGCGACAAGTTTCTTCAACTCCTCCACCTTTTCCGCAGTTGTAAGATCATTGAACTTCTCCTCAAATGAAGATAAAGAAGGGAAGGAAGCTGGCTGCAAGAAATTAAGCAAGTTATACATCTCACCAATGTTATTCTGGAGTGGGGTTCCAGTCAAAAGAACACGATGTTGGAAAGAGAATGTGTTGAGCAAGCTAAACAGCTTACTTCCCGAATTTTTCAAACGATGACCCTCATCAACTACAAGAACTTCCCAAGGAAAACCACGCAAATGAGAGGAGTCGGCAAGAATCATTTCATAAGTAGTTAAAAGAACATTAAATTTGTAAGAAGCTGTTCTCTTATTCAGTTCATTTGAATCACTGGCATGCCATTCATGCTGGCGAATGACAGCTCTTGCTTTTGCACAACCATGATACTCCACAACATTTAAATCAGGAGCCCATAGTGAAAACTCAGCAAGCCAGTTAGGCATGGTAGAAAGCGGAACCAGCACTAAACAAGGTAGAGTAGCTTTAAACTCGAAATAAAGTGACAAAATAAAGGCAACAGCTGATACAGTTTTTCCAAGCCCCATCTCATCAGCAAGTATAACATTTTTGGACTTATGCCAGCATTTACGCAACCAATTGAGTGCTTCAAGCTGATGGGGAAATAGTGAGCCTCCCTTCAGTTCTTTAGGTTGCTCTGTCAAAGTAACAATATCATGCTGCTGATCCCACTTTCCCCCAGATTCATCCTTTGCAGCATCTTTTTCCAATGTTTGGCGTTCAAACTGATCAAACAGATCAATCAGATGAGAAGATTGTTGAACAACAGGTTCATCTAATCTTTCCCAAGTGCATTCATCGTATGGAAGACCAGTCCACTTCACAAAAGCTTCCCTCATACCATCGTTTGAAATGCGTAGAGAAATAAACCGCTGAGGCTTCCTCCACTTTTCCTCACAGAAATTTATCACGGCTGTACCATACTTGGCCTTGTAACATTCTAGTTTTCTCTTTGCCAGAACTTTCAACTGGGATTCAGAAACCCAACTATTATGAATATGGGACTTCCCCACCCATTTAACAAAAAATTCATATGATATTGTCTCCCCATTAGAACATGCAGATTCAGTCGCAACTGCCTCCTGAACTTTATTTTCGGCACTGCTACTTATTTTCATTTCTACATCCATCTCTTTTGTTGTTGAAGGCATTTCACAATCTTTTGGAACTTCAGCAGTACCATGAGCTTTCACACTAACATCAGCATCCACCTCTTCTACAGCCATTTTTTCATTTCTTTTTCTTGAATTAGCTACAGTTACAACAGATTCATCTTGATCCTTACCATTTGTGATTGCACAATCTGAATCCTTGGCATCTTTGCTCAATAAGTCCATGGAATTCCCTCCCTTGCATTTTTTAGTTACAGACCTTCTATATACATATGTTTTATCCACTCTGACATCATTCTTAGTGCTTTCTTCTTTATCAGAACTTTTCAAAGAATTAGGACAAACCTCAGCAAGATTTTCAGCAGCTGCTATATCTGAATCAATATCACAAACAGAATTATCTTCTGAAAGTCTGTTTTGATTTTCTGCAATTAGCAAATCATCAGAATGCACATCTTCTGCAAGTGCTACAGACGCATGATGCAAAACACTAGCATTGTCACCTTGAACCCGACAGCCTAGAACTCGATCAACCTGTGAAGCAGATAAGTATGGATTGTGGGGACCACAAAGTAAAGAGTCTATATTCAAGACAGAAACAATGATCTTTGATACAGCCATATAAAAGAAGTCAACTTACCTGCTGAAGTTCAGCACGAACACTGTCTTCACATATCAGTGAGGCATCCATAACCGCTTTATCTGACTCATCTGACTGATGTGTTGCTTCCTCAGAAAGCTTCTGATCAAGAAAATAGCAAGTATTAAACAATCAACAAAAAGAATTCCAAGAGTAGTCAGAATGAAGCGATGCATCAACAATGAAAAAGATTGACATACGAAAATAACAATGATATTTATGTACAAAATCATATATTGGTGCATTTGTGTGTATGTTTGTGTGCATGTATCTACAAGGCATTAACTTCAGGAAGCCACACTTAAATGTCCAACATAAACAGGGACTTGGTAATAAATCGTTTTGGCAAAAAAAAAATTTTAGATGCAACTGAACAATAAGAAAGAAGATACATCCTAAGGTCAAGGTCTAAATTTATGCATAAAAAGGGAAATTATAATATCAGACAGCAGGATTTAAGGACATTTATCGCACTGATATAGACAAAAAAATTGAACACAAATATAAAATCATCAGAAACTTCTTCCACACATTCTAGTCGGAATATGCAGAACATCTGAAGTTTAGAAAACAAGAAAAAAAAAATTAAGAAAGACAACATGTACAAAAAAAAAAAAGGCTTACATTTAACTCTAAACTATTGCAAATAATGCAGGAAGCAAACCCTCTAACTCTATGGCATAAAATCTTGAAATTGACATCTAATAGTTCAAGAAATAAGCTACCCATCTTAAATTTGAATTTGTATGCAACATAGCAAAACAAGTAGACAACTGAAAACAAGTAGCATATTAAAGAATGTAGTGAAATTTGGAGGGGGGAGAATCTCAGCAAAGTAGACGTAATTGATAGATATGAAAAAGTAAAAAACAAGTGAATGTGCCAAGCACCTTTCTGGAATAAAAAATTACAGACCCTAGATGTGAGCTCTGCTCTTACATCTGGGTACATATGCGAATTGGTAAAACATATAAGACAAAGCAACTAATTATCTTGCTATTATCTCCCAAAAGAATACTTCTGACAACTATATGGTCACATATGCAATAGTTCAGTTCAGAAGAGAAGGGGAAAATGGAGCAAATTCATTGAAGCAAAAGAACTTCTAAAGGGTTAAAATATCTACAAAGCATCTTTTAAAGATAATCATTATCATTCTCTATGTCATTCACTCCAAAAACCACCTGAGCATATACAATAAAATAAAAACCCTCCAACCACCCAGTATAACAAAAATAATCTAGAAGGTAATAACATACCTCATCTTTTTTCTGAGTATCAAAACTCTTGTTTCCATCATCAACCTTGGACAAAGATGCAGAAACCCCATGATCAACAGGTTTCTGTTTGTGATGAGATTTACTAGATCCAGGACCAATATTATTTGCTTTGGACCCTTTTTTTTTCGAAGTACTAACAGTATGCTTTCCCTTATCTCTCTTACACTTCTTCTGACTTGCCTCATTACTGACTTTCTGCTTTCTTTTTCTATCTTTCCTCGTGGCTACACCAATTGCAAGAACAATTTTATTTCTGGAAGACTCATTATTGCATGGCAATTCATGCTTCGCTTCAGATGCTTCATCATTTTGCTGTGACTTTGTGCTTTTAGAATGCGACAAAACCACTTTAGCAGGAGGAGTTAACTTCCTTTCTGTAGATGAATCTGTTAGAGATGCATCAGGCTTCTTCCCATCATCAACATTCACACACAATGAACCACCTTTCTCAGCACCACCAAGGGATGTGAGAATTGGCTTGGGGATACAAAGTGAATCTATATGCGAGGTTTCTGCTTCCTTTTTCAAAGTATCAACTCCCCGAGCTAAATCAGATTTTCCTTTGCTAGAGGAGGATCTTTTCTTTGCAATAATGGACGTTCCAAAAATTCGGGACACTTTTTCAGTAGCAGGTGACTTTATTCCAGTTTGAGCTTTTGTCTTGATAATTTTTGATCTTGCTCGCTTTGAAATTGAATCCAGATGGGCAATGGGCTTGAGTGGATTGGTCTTCTTACAGCATTTTGGGCATTGCCACTTTCCCATTGGAATGCGCTACAATGATGAATAACACAAGAATAAAGAAAAGAAAAGAGATATAAAGGAGTCAAAAAATAAAATAGCTAATACAGCCACAAAATAAAGAAGGGGATAATCTCAAGTTAGCTATCATATTATACCTTAAGAGGTGGATCAAGGCATTGAAGATGATAGGTCCTAGGACAACTATCACAACACAACAAGTTGCCACCAACATCACAAATCACACATTCATAGTAATACTGGAGACCAAAAAAAATAGCAAGGAAAATATGTCAGAAGCAGTTTACAAATGCCTATAAAACACAGTCAAGACACAAGAACGCAAGCAGATGTATATTCCATTGGATTTTTTTTTTGAGCTCCATCAATTATTTTTCTCCTCACATTAGCATGCAGTATGATACTATAATGATGTTCTTTGTGTTTCCAACAGCAGACTTGTGCATGTTTCTCAAGCAGAACATGGCAAGAGGGAGACAAGTAAAACAATGAAATTCTTTTGAAAACACAATCTCTAATTATGGTCAAAGGTTCTAGAGGTCACATGAATTTGATGCATACAAGAAAAGAACCAAGCATATCACTGTAAAAAAAAAAAAAAAAAACTGATGAAAACCCAATTCCACTAATAGCTATTATTCTGAGCAAATTACTCTTAACTTGGGTGAAAAGTGATATTCAATTGCAGCATGCATGATTCAAAATTTAACTTCTGGCATGTGGATTATGATAATTGAGAAACACCTAGCTAAATTCACAACACAATCAAATTATAAGCAAAATTTAAACATATTGACAAGAACATTTCCCAAAAAAAGGGGAAATGAGGAGATTCTGTAGCTACATCGACCACGCACAAACATAATTAAAAGCCATATCAAATAAGAAAAAGAAACTAAATTGCAATGAGGGAAAAAAAAATATGATAGAACAAGAATAAAAGACAACATACCCCATCATTTCCTTTCTTTTTAGATGACAACTGATCAGAGCTCGTTTCAACTTTTAGCCTACATTTAGCTGAAGTACTTCTTGAAGATTCTGACGCTACTAAGTTCTCTTCTTTACCATTGGCAAGGGATGGTCCACACAGAAGCTTTCTTCGTTTGCGCTTCAAGACCCAGTTTCGGTTAATCATTTTCCTATTTGATGAACTGGTATCCTTCATCCTTTGTTAATCATGGTCTTACATTGTGGCTATGAACAACAGAAAGCATGTCATGAGTCACTTCTGGAGCAATAAAGATACAAACCTGCAATCTTAGCCACTGCAAAGACTAAATGTGCAGTTCCTACATTTTCAGCAATATCACTCATTAGAAACAAAAGCAATTAGAAGGCAACAATAGTTTTATTGCGCTGAAGAAGGGTGAAGCACGCGCATAAAGCCACAAACACATTGAAACAAAAGAAAGCTTTATTTATAAAAGAAAAAAGGGGGGAGAGAGATTGGAATCATACTGAGTTCATTAAAACATGAACTCATAAAATTGAATTTGTCATTGATTCCATTTTAAAACAGGGTCTCAAACTCAAATTTGGATTGCAATTCTGATTGGCAACCAACTTCAAGTTGCTGCTAATCAACTATTCAACATCTAAGTTCACATTATTCTCGGTGTTTATATTTGGTTTCTAAAATGTCAAAGTTGATGTACCAAGATCAACAAGTTAATTAAACTAGAGTCCACAGAATTAATCCATGTCCATGCCACAGCAAACCAACAAGGTTTTGCTCAAAAGTGAACACAACAGTCAAACCAAAGTCGAACTCCATATTCTACATAAAGCAGAAGCAGAAATGGAATTTCATAGTAAAATAGATAGGACTAGCATCGTTAATCGAGACACTATCAATGTGATGAAAAATTAAGAAACGAAAGTAAGAAACAACATTGACAGTGGCTTAACACTTTCTAAACACTCAATTCAATCAGCAACAATGACTGAATGCAAGCGTAAATCCCAGTGGTAAATTGAAACAGCTTTGGAAATGCAACAACTAAGACCTCTTATCTAATCTAGTCTAGTCTAGTCCAGGAATGAAATGAAGCATCTAAACTAAACAATTGATCATCAAATGCAATGCAAATTAACACAAAAATGACCAAAATTGAACAATCACAAAAACTCAATCCATGCATAACACATTCAGCTTACATTGAACACAAAATCCCATTTCAACAAAACTCAACTTCATGTACAAAGTCACTCAAGAAACCCAATTCCCAAATCACTTCAAAAAACACCAAATTTCAATCAAATTATGAACGCAACCTCACAACAAGAAACAACGCAGCACATTCAACAAAACATCAGAATAGACAAAATAAACAGCTTAAAGTACCTTTATTAGAAAACCCCAACCCAAAAATTAGAAATAAACAATACCCAGATAGAAAAAGAAGCTTACCAATCTTCTTTATGGAACAACAATCAAGCCCAAGCGGAATAGCATCAAGACTACAGATTAAGAGATGCAAAAGATAGGGACGAAGAGAGAGGGGAATTTGGGTATAGCAAGCATAGAAAAGGGAGAAAAGAGAGAGAAACAGAGAAGACACAAGAAAAATGAATAAATATAGAGAGAGAATTGAAAAAAATAAAATAAAATAGAATAAGAGATATAGATGCAAGTGTTTTTGTAGGGAGAGAGAAAGAGAGCATATGGAACGGATTCGCCGGGGTCATAGGAGACGGGTTACCACTCTGACATGGCAGCGCATGAGAGAAAGAAAGGGCAAGGGTAAGCTAGCTCCCCTTCCTCTCTTTCTCTTCATCTCTCCTACCTAACCACTGATGCCACGCCACGTGGATTTATGAGACGCCGCCTTCCGGTTTATTTCTTTTTTTTTTCTTTCTTTCGCTCTATTTTAATTTCCTTTCTCTTCTCCCCGACCAAGCTAAGCCAAGGAGAGAAACTTGCTTTCCTTTCTCTCTTGAATCCTCATAATCGCCGCCATCCATTGCTTGCTTGGATGGATGGAGTCCTCTTGTTATTTCTTCTATCTTTAATCTTTTCACTTTGCAGCCTTTTTCCCTTCACTCTTTTCCTTTTTTTTTTTTTTGAGTTCTTGCATGTTTGTTGTTTTTTTTTTTTTTTCTTTTAAGTTTTTCAATCAACTTTTGATTTCATTATAAAGGTTTGCATTTGTTTTTGAATAGTTTTAAATTTCTCAGAATGATTTTAATTACTTTTATTAGTTCAACTTCCCGCGCAATTAATCAACGCTTTTTATCCATAATCATAATTTTTTAATCAATTTTCCGTTAACTGTAGAAAGATATTCATTAACTATGATTTTTTATCAAACAGTTAAAAAGTGTGACGTGTAACATGTTTTCTTATGACGGTTAACTTATTGAAAGATTGACAATATATAAATTAAGTATATGTGTTTTTAAAATTTTTTTTATTAAAATTGATTATTTTTTAAATTTATTAATAAGTCATTGAAATTGATATTTACATATTATAAGTTAACAAAATTTATAATTCTAATAAATATATAATAGAGGTTTAAAAGTAAGTTAAAAATAAAAAATAAAAAATTCAGCTCGGGGTTTAAGGGTTAAAAAAATTGAATGAAAAATTTTGCTGGCATTAGGCATCTTTCTCAATGAACTTAACTACGGAAGCCTAATGTTAAAAATTAATTTTAAAATATTAAAATTATATGAATAAGTAAAGAGCTAATTAAAAAGAAATTATATTAAGTTATAAAATAATTTAAGATATGATTTAAAAATCAATCAAATGATTTTAAAATTTTAAAAAATCTAATTAAGAAGATTGTTCATGTAAATAATTAAGAAGATATAATAAATAATCGATTGTTTTAACAAATAAAAGTGAGATATAATTTTTGTATAAAATAATAACTGATTGTTAACTTATAATTAAAAATTAATCCAATCAATTACTGATTCTAATATAATCTATTGTTATTGATAAAATGTTATTTTGAGAACTGATTTAGGCCATAATAGTTGATTGCTATTGAAAATAAGCTAACTACCCTAATGGTGGCCATTAGTAGAACCATTTTAAAATTTGATAAAAATCAAATGCTATATAAAACAATCAATTACTCATGTAAAGATTGCGTTTTATAAATTAAAAGGAGCCGATTACTCCAAAGAATAGTTTATTGTTATGTTTTAGATAGTATTTTAAAATTTGAAATTACAAAAAGGATAATCAACTATCTACTGTCTATTGTTATATATAAAAAGTTAAAATTGTTAGAAATGTGAACATGATTTTTTTTATATTAAAAATTTGACAATTTAATGAATTAATTCATTCTTAATTACTTTGAATAATATATTTCTAATAAAAAAAAATCAATTGCTATGTTTCAGATATCATTTTAAAAATTGAAATTACAAAAAAAATAACCGACTACTCACAATCTATTGCTATATATGAAAAGTTAAAATTGTTAGAAATGTGAAAATGATTGATTTTAGAAATAAAAATTTGAGAATTTAATGAATCAATTCATCCATAATTATTGAAAATAACATATTTAAAATAAAAAATAATATTTAATTCAAACATTACGATAAAAAAGTCACAACTTTTGTTAAAGATAAAATATTTTTACCTCTCGTCGAGATGCTTTTAGTAATTTGCTTTTTATAGTGTAGGGTGATTCAAATATTCGTTTCATTGTATTTTTTAGACTATTTAATTCAACATATTTGACATACTATTACTAATAAGAATAAAATAAAATCTTGAGGATAGTAACGTAAATAATAGAACTTGAAACTATTTCCATTATACATTTAATGTTTCAATTATTCAAAGTGCAAAGAAACAAGTTACCAAAATCACAAGTTTAACATAGAAATTTACATTGTTTCTAATCTTTAAGCTTTGTAATTTTCTAACACACAATTTTATGGATTTGTGAATTAATTAGTTGTTACTTTTGTAACTCAAACTTGAATGTAGAATTCCCAGACTTAGAGGCAAAAAGGCAATTATTTTTTTGTCCAAGTTTGGATAAAGAATTTAACCTTGCCACAGCAAAATGATATGAGAGGGAATGGGACGATGTATGAGATGACTACATCATTCTAACTTTAAAAAAAAAAAAAATGTTAAGATCCAAGGCTCGCATAAAAATGTTATTGATATTTTCAAAATAAATTTACGTTTCATGCATTTTGCTTCCCAAAATCTTAAAACAATTATAGGCTCTTTTTTTCTCTTACACGATTAATTGACTATGCAATTTGTTGACGTTGTCGCTATGCTATGCATGCAAAATGGTTGCGAAGAAGGGCGAATGCATTAGACCAATGACTCTAGCCTCTTTCCCACCGACCCACAAACGTCGTCTCAAGCGCCGGACCCACACCGCCTGGGAGAACACGCACAATGACTGCTCCGTGCTCTATACGCGCTCACAGCTTGCTAAATTTCAAGCATACCAAAAAAGAAGCAAGGAAAATATTGTGATTACGTAACCCTTACCATCTCCAAAACAGGCCAAAATTTCAGTTCTAGAAAGAGAAATTGAAATTACTTACATTAGTTTTTAATAAAATCTAAACCTAATATATATATATATATTAAAAAAAAATTCCAGAGAGTGCAAGAGAGACTGCAACTCGCTATTTTTGTCTGAAAATGAGCGGATTTGTAGAGAGAGGAAGTCAATAATCTTCTGCTTTGCTGCTCAGCAAAACCTCACTGCTCTTTGCGTTCTTTTCTCTTTTCAGGTAATACTATCCTTCTTTCTTTTTTTTTTAATTAATCATTGTTTGGTTAAAGTCGTGATTACTACCTTTAATCTGTTTATGGGTATCGTTCCGATTCTAATTTTAATTTTGATTTTTTTTATATTTCCTTTGAATTTGGGGGTTTATTAATACCGACGTTTAGTGTCTCACTCTCTCTTTTTCAGTGTGTTTGATCAGTGGTTTTGGAGTGATTGGAGATAGATTTTGAGCTCCATTTTTTGTAATATTAAATGGGTTTTTCCTTGTGGGTTTGACGAAGCTGCGTACTCTCACGGCACTGAGATTGTTGCTATTGAATTTCCATATTACCAGTTAATCTTATAAGTTATAACTAATTTTTTTTATCATGCATTTAAGTAAAAGGGTATTCGAATTGGATTTGTCTTGCTTTGGGATTGTGCTTTGTGGGATTGATTTTAGCACTTTTCGGGGTTTTTTTTTTGGTGTACACCATTACCTTTTGACCTTTTCATGTTTGTTTTGGAATTTCGAGTGTCATTTTGGTTCATATTTAGGCTTCTAGATTTGCATTATATATACTGCTTTGGATATTCATTTCTTTGTGTATCTTTGGCCTAGAAAGCCCAAAATGTATCCATTCAATGAAATATATATTACAGCTTCAATTCCGTATTCTAGTTGCATTAAAGCTTTACTGAAATGGGTTAAAGTACTAAAAAAAAAAACTTTACAAAATTCTCTTATGTGGTTGTAGCTTTAATTTATGGTGTTTATGCGGAATATACGGGATGATTCGGGTACCAGAATTACTTTCTCACAAAAAATGAGTCCAATAATTCTTTTATCATCGCAAATCTTGGTGCTGTTTCTAGGCAGAGGATTTGCACTTAACTTCATTTATGTACATGAATAAAAATGCTTTGGTTGATTGACCATTCCTTGTGAGGTTATCGTGCTTTAAACAAATTGATTCCACAGTTTCTTTAACTAGCTGGTATTTTTTACCATAGATAGCATCATCATCATCAATAATATTATATCCTGTGATGGAAATGGGAGAGCTATTTCTTCTGTATGAAATGGAGGAAGTTTTTTTTTCCCTGCATGATGTTGTTAAATTTCTAAAGATTGCATTGAGTTGTGTACTTTTCTCATGATAGCTTAGTTTAACTAATGGTGAATGCCCATACAATCTTTCAGGTTCAGATTAAGGTCTTTGGAAAGCGAACTTTGCTGTTGGCTGTGGCAGAATGCATGTGCTGATATTGCACTGGTGTGATAATCAGGGCATGTTGCCTTGGTTTATTTTCCTGGAAAAATTTATCTAAATGGAGAGAAATCTAGGAGAAGGCATAATGGATCAACAGAAGAACTATGAACAAGTTCAATACAATAATATGGAAGCAAGAAATGAGACTCTTGTATCAGCAAATCAAAGATTTTTCCAAGATCCATCTAGTAATATTAATACTAACATCCGACCTCCTGATTATAATACGTCTGTGGGAGCTAGGCCAGTGCTGAATTACTCCATTCAGACAGGTGAGGAATTTTCTCTGGAATTTATGCGGGAAAGGGTAAATCACAGGCAGCTTTTTTTTCAGAATGCTTATGGTGATCCTAACAGTGGACCTGTCTATATGGATCTAAAGGGCATTCTGGGAATTTCTCATACAGGTTCTGAAAGTGGCTCTGATATCTCTATGCTTAACACGGTAGAAAAGTCCTGTCCCCAGGAGTTTGAGAGAAAGACCCCTTCTGTACATGAAGACAAAAGCTATTATGATTCCATGCGATCTGTAGCTAAATCCTCTTCAAGAAATGACAGTAGTCGGGGGCATAAAGGTTATGAGTCTTCAAGTGCTTCTCTCAGCTCATCAACTAAGGTAAAGTTCCTCTGCAGCTATGGTGGTACAGTTTTACCACGTCCCAGTGATGGGAAACTTAGATATGTTGGGGGAGAAACACGTATCATCCGATTAAGCCGGGATATTTCCTGGCAAGAGCTTGTTGAGCTAACCTTAGCAATTTACAACCAAGCCCATACAATAAAGTATCAGTTGCCTGGAGAGGATCTAGATGCTTTGGTTTCTGTATCTTGTGATGAGGATCTGCAAAACATGATGGAGGAATGTAATGTGCTAGAAGATGGAGGATCCCAGAAACCCAGGATATTCCTTTTCTCTAGCAGTGATCTAGAGGATTCTCAGTATGGTTTGGGAAGCGTAGAGGATGGTTCTGAGATACAATATGTTGTAGCCTTGAATGGCATGGACTTAGGATCAAGAAAAAACTCAATTGCGGCAAGTGTGCCAGAGAACAATTCAGATGACTTACTTGGTTTGAATGTTGTAAGGGAGGCTGATCGGACTGTGACTGAAGCAGCTGCTACTAGTGCCGCTTCTTTGACAGATAATGCACCGTCACCAATGGTCCAATCTTTTCATGCACCTTCACCAATGGTCCAATCTTCTCATGCACCTTCACCAACCCTTCAATCTTCTCAACCAGTATTGGCAAGTCCATCTAGCACTTATGAATCTAGTTCACAGCCATACTTGGAACAAAAAGTGCGTCATGGAGAAGCTAGCCAGCAGCTGTCCTCTGCTCCCCAGGTAAATAGGAAGAGTAATGTTCCTTTGACTGGGCCATTGCAATATGGTTATGGTTCCCAACCCTCTACCCATGTAATGCCCGGAGAAAATTTAGTATCAACGCCATTCCAAGGGCATGTTACACCCCAGGCAGGTGTAGCCGAAGAGAAGATGTATATGGGCTTTCAAGTGCAAGGTTCAGAAGTATCTATAAAAGAGGTGAAACTAAAAAGAGATAGCTCAGCCCCAAAAATAACTGAACCTGAAAAAATTCTATCCCTAGACAAAGCTCTGCCAACAAAGGAGCCAAAAATGAAAAGAGATACATCTCTCCCAAAGATCAATGAAACTGAAAAAACTCGGATGTCAGAGAGAGAGTACAGTGTCCCTTCAAATGCATATGACAGTTCTGTTCCAAATCATATTTCTAAAAAGGAAGCATCTGTTACCATTTCAGTGCCAGACATTGGCTCACCTTTTTTGCCTGCAAAAAATTTCAAAAAGACTCAGGAAGCTGTGCAGCATTTGGTGGCCTCTGAAATCGTAAATGAAGGGAGAAAGAACGTTGAAGATGGGCAGTTTTACACAGCTGGTGGGCCCTTTACATCTGGAGGTGATGGTTCTGAGGCTGATCCAAATGACTTCGGCCACCTTGAGCCATCTGTAATTCCTCAACGAGTTTTTCATTCAGAGAGAATCCCTAGGGAGCAGGCAGAAATGAACCGTTTATCAAAGTCCGATGATTCTTTTGGGTCTCAGTTTCTAATGACTCAAGCAAGTTCTGATTCTTCCCAACCAATTTCAGAATCAGTTGACAAAATTCATGATGGGAATTTGCCCCCCCAAGCTGATCAGTCTGTCACTTCTGCAAATCCACTGTCTAAAAATCCTCAGACTGTTATGGATGGGCTTGCACAATTTGAAAAGTACAAAGACTTTGCCAATAAAATCACCTCCAATATTCCTGAGAAGGGGCTTGAGTCAACTAAGCAGAAATCTGAATTTAAACAAGTCACAGTTGAGAGCGGTGTTGGTGAAGAAGCACCTGGGTTAAATCATCCCTCAGTAAGTCAAACAACTTCTGTTAAGCACCTTGAAGTTCCTTCTTTGAAGCCATCTGATTTTGAACGAATTGAGAAGGATGAAGGAAATCATGTTAAGGGGCGTGAACAACATTTGGTATGGGCAGAGAACCCAATTAAAGCTACTTCCAATGTAGAGCCCGCAGCTTCCATTGGCGCCTCACGGCATGGAGACATACTTATTGATATTAACGATCGGTTTCCTCGTGATCTTTTGTCTGATATATTCTCAAAAGTAAGAATATCCCAGAACCTCTATGGTATCAGTCCATTCCCTGGTGATGGAGCTGGATTGAGCTTAAACATGGAGAATCATGAGCCTAAGCGTTGGTCATACTTTCGTAATTTGGCTCAAGACGAGTTTGTTAGAAAGGATGTTTCCCTCATGGATCAGGACCATCTGGGTTTCTCATCTCCGCTTACAAATATTGTAGGTGGGGCTCCAATCGATTACAGCTATCCACCTTTGAAATCTGCTGGTGCAATTACCTTAGGTCATATTAAGCCAGAGGTCAATTTTGGTGAGGAGATCAGGCAGGAGTCAATTACTGTTACTGCTGCTAGCAACTTGGGTTTAGGTTCAGATTACAAGAAGTCTCCACACAAGGGTGATGAAAGTGGACGAGATGGGGCAAACCACAAAGTACCTGAATCAGAGTATGAGGTACTAGTGCCAGTTGATTTTGATTAAAATTCCTCGGCTTGTGAAGATAATGCTTGCATTTTACCTTGTTTTCTAATTTTTCTATATTTTCAAGGATGGGAAATTGGATATTTTGAATACTTGTGTACCTCTTTTGGATCTTTCCCTTGGAGATTTTGATATCAGTACATTGCAGGTATTTCTTGCATCCTCTGTTATCTACAGATATCTCCATACACAAAGAGTTGATGAATGTGCATTTGCCTTTTTTTTTCCTAAAATTTCCTACTGTAATGAAGATTAGCCAGATTTTATTCATATATGCTTATGCTTATGTCTTCGATAGAAGCTTTTGTTTGGTCAGTAGCATACATTCCAACTACAGTCAGCTATCACCACCATTTTCTGGAACCTCATTTCCAGTGGCACCAATGCAGCCAGTCATGATTGCTCCCTACTTCCTAGTTGAAACACTGATTATAGGCATGTCATTTAGGATAAAAAACATTGTACATCACCTCAGACAGTACTCACCTCTTTGATATCTGCTTCTATCACCTCCTCATCTCAATTTATGCTGGTCAATTTAATAGAGGTCCAGTGAAAAATGTTGTTCACCATGCTGTCGTTTTTTGCCTCTTGTCCCAAGATTGTTCAACTAATGTAGTCACTATTTTAAACTCCCATGTTGGTTGATTTCATCAAATGCCATGGCAGATCATTAAAAATGAAGATCTGGAAGAGCTTGGGGAGCTGGGTTCTGGTACATTTGGGACTGTCTACAATGGAAAATGGAGGGGAACAGATGTTGCCATCAAGCGGATAAAAAAGAGCTGTTTCACTGGTCGTTCATCCGAGCAAGAAAGATTGGTGAGTTCTCCATCCAAGATATTTGATGAGGAAGCATATAGAGAGTCAGATGGACTTGCAATCTTGCAATCCCAAACCTGGGGTTTTTAGCTGACGTGATTTTCCTGAAGATTAATGACCATCAAGGCTTGCATTTTCTCAATTCCTGATTGCAGGGATGTGTCTATTGCTAGGCTGGATGGTTTCCTTCCTTGGTGCATTGCTTTGCCTGTTGTTTCTTGGCATTTTGTGCATTATCAATGGAGATTGATATTTTCTATACTTCATCTCATGCCATCAATAACAACCAGCACTAAATATTTTTCAGACTGTGGAGTTCTGGCGTGAAGCTGACATTCTTTCAAAGCTTCACCATCCCAATGTTGTGGCATTTTATGGCGTGGTGCATGATGGACCTGGAGGAACACTAGCCACTGTCACAGAATACATGGTGAATGGCTCTCTTAGACATGTTTTGCTTAACAAAGATGGGTAATATTTTTATTTACCATTATTCGTAGAATGTACTTCTTTCATCACCCATAGAATTTCCTCTTTTATTCATTTCTTGACCTTATAAGTTTTTTAACTGCCCAGGCTACTTGATTGTCATAAGCGGCTTATTATTGCCATGGATGCAGCATTTGGGATGGAATATTTACATTCAAAGAACATTGTGCATTTTGATTTAAAATGTGACAACTTGCTTGTCAACTTGAAAGACTCCGTACGACCAATTTGCAAGGTAATTTGCTTGAATTTTTTTTTTATATATATAAATTTGTAAGTTTATGGTTTCTGTGGCTTTTCCAATTACCCATCCCTTTGTTCTTGTTTGGTAGTTAGATGTTGATTTCCAAAGTTTAAATAAAGATGATCTTGTCTGTGAAGGTTGGGGACTTTGGGTTGTCAAAGATAAAAAGGAATACCTTGGTTACTGGTGGTGTGAGGGGAACTCTTCCATGGATGGCCCCAGAGCTGTTGAATGGTAGCAGTAGTAGGGTTTCTGAAAAGGTAAGACGATTATGTTTTTAACTTGGATGAAGTTTGTTTAGATCTTAGTTAATATCTAGCTTTACGGCAATCCAGCACATGCTGGAAACATATTAATATGCTTAAGAGTAGGGATCACCTCTCAGTAATTCTGTTTCTCACATTTTTTTGGAGGTTTTTATGCATAAGTTTGTTTTAAGCAAGTTATCTACTCTTCATTGTCTATATAGTGAAGTGGGAATTTACTGGCTCAAGTTACGTGTATGTAGCGAAATGGGATGTTATGACTTGTTGGTTTTTTCAAACTTATAGAAGTACAAGATAGCTCTGTGGCTCAATCTAGGTTTCTTCCCCATGACCACCTAAGCAAAGCACAAATGGCCTTTATGAAAGTATTGGTTACCTGGGATTTTGTCATTTGCAGGTTGATGTGTTCTCATTTGGCATTGTCCTATGGGAGATTCTAACTGGTGAGGAACCCTATGCTAATATGCATTACGGAGGAATAATAGGTATGAAATCTCTCACTTGCTCTTTCTTTTATGTTAAATGTGCTTGTACTTTGTGAGATGGGCAGTGTGCCAGACTGCTTGTCCCATTAGTTTTCCATATTAAGTTCTGCTGAAGGGTCTCTTACCTTACCATTGTTTTCCGGATATAGTTGCTTGTTTGAATTTTTATATTTTTTTTCATGAAATTCTTGCCTGTTAAAATTCAAATATTTCTCATACTGATAGAGTTCCTACTTTGTTCACTTCACATCCATTTACTATGTCTGTTTTCAGTTTTATGTAAACTATAGCATTAGCAGTTTATCTGAATGCATGTTCCTGCCCATCCATGGTGAATTGAATACCTCATCACCATGCAGGGGGCATTGTTAGCAATACATTGAGGCCACCTGTTCCAAGCTACTGTGACCCTGAATGGAAGTTACTAATGGAGCAGTGCTGGGCTCCTGATCCTGTGCTTCGACCATCATTCACAGAGATTGCTAGACGCTTACGTATCATGTCCTCAGCATGCCAGACAAAACCACATGGTCATCAGCCGCAGAACCAAGTACCCAAGTGATGGCTCTCAATGAGTCCCTTATTTTGATGCCCTCGTCAATGATATATGGTAGTTTATTTTCTTTTACTCCATAAACGATGTGTGTGTTATATGGGCAAGGGAGGAGGAGCTCCGATTGAGAGGGTGAGATAATGATTGTTTTTTGTAAGACTCAAAAAATCTGTTTTATATGTAAAGCTATTATATGTGTCAATAGTGGATACAAACTCTGTTTTGGTGCTTGTGACCCAAGTTAATACAGAGTGTTTTTGGTTTGTCAGTGGTGCTTGCTTGCTTGCTTGCACACAGTAGATAGATATTCTGGTAAGTTTAAGGCACCTCCAAATACAATTAGCTGAAAAAAGGTTTCTACAAGTTTTATTTTATGCAATATTATTATAAAAACCTGCTTCCCCAAATTAAGTTAATAATGTCGTGTGATTTGGTGTAAGAATTTGGTTTGGTGCCACTGCCGGCCCTGCTGTTGAGGATTTCCACCATACATAACATTACAATTACCCCTGCGCTGCTAAAAAGTGGCAACAATAATAATAATAAAACAAAAAGTAATTTACTCTTTTTATTTTATAATATGAGCAATATCCTTACACATAAAAAATCTGTCCTACGTTCAAAAGACTCTCATGAGGAACATTAAAAATCACACTATTTTCCCTACATATCTTCCTAAGAAATGCGTATACATAATCAATAGCTATTTTCTTGTAAAATCTAGCATCCCTTCTTGCCCTCACCACAGTGTTTCCCAGAATGTGCACCACCCCAGCATCCCTAGAGCTATTCAAAAATTCCAACTCATGAGTCTCCGTCTGGCTGCTTACTTGCCCAGATGATCTGACTGTAAAATTTGCATGCATCGGAGACCTCACAGGCACAATTGAATCCACAGTTGAAAAATTTGTGCTATCAATGTTTGACGAAGTCGTGTTGCCAGTACTATTATTACTATTCAACAGACATTCTCTTGACCGCTCACTTTGCTGGCCAAACAAGCAGCTATATTCATCTGAATCTGAACACCCTTCCATCATTGACTCAAGCCGGACAAACAAGAACAAGCTGTCAAACAGCTTTTTCTCAAAATCATCATCTTTCTTATGAAGGTCTTTGTACCCATACCTAGCAACGCAACGAAACATGTGAAAACTCTTTGGTCCAATCCGCTTTACAAGGAACCTTTCTTCTTCTGGAACAGTGTAAACGGGAAGGTACTTCACACACACAAAAACAACAACAGAATGGATGGCAGGTAGGTTAGTGATGAAGTGGGAAAATATGTGGGGCACGCCACTTGCTAGCTCAGTGTACACTAGTCCAATTCCAGGAACCCGGACTAGTCCTAAACTAGGGCCAAGCCCAAGAATCCATGCCATTGAAACCTTACTATGCATCTCAAACTCATATCGCTTCACTGTACCATAATGCCAAACATACATGATGAGCAGAAAGGCTGCTGCAATAACAAGGGGAACCCACCCACCTTGATCAACCTTGAAGAGTACAGCAGAAAAGTATGTGCACTCTACAACCAAGGACAAGCCAGTGAAGAGGAGGACAAGAATCCAATGACAGCGCCAGACCAAAATCATGATTAAAGTCATAAGTAACGTGGTTACCAACATGACGATCACCACAGCTGTCCCTGCAGCAACATAACTTTTTACTCAGCTACAATGAACAGACACACGCACGTGAAGAAAATTTTCTACTCCAAATCTTGTTGAATTATACATATTTTGGAATGCAGTGTTTCTCAGTGGACAATAGAAGAAGATGCATTAAGAAACTTTGATAAAATTATGAATGTACATACTTACCATAAGCATTTCCAATTTGGTTTTGGTTCTTGAATCCAGCAGTAACAGCAATGCAAAGGACCATAAGGATCCAATTAATATCTGGAACATATATCTGGCCGAGGAACTTCTTTGATGTATGCACAACCTTCACTCGGGGAAAACAACCAAGTGCAAGGGCTTGCTTGATAATTGAAAAGGTTGCTGATATGGTGGCCTGACTTGCAACTATAGCAGCAGCAGTAGCAATAACAAAAACAGGCCAATATATGCTATCTGCATGATAACAAATAATTAGAATCTGGAACTATACACTTGCCACATTAAATGGGACAATCAAGTACCAACAGCATTTGAGAGAAAAAGACAGAGAAGATATACAAGGAGAAGCTTGCACTTGAACAGGAGTAAGGCTACAATGACATCATTGCATAACAGACAGGATTATAATGACCATAAAATAGATATAAGAACAAACCCGGGATAGAGCGATAAAATGCATCAACCACATGGTCCCTGTTATTCATGAGGTAGGCAGCTTGTCCAGAATAAGCTAGGAGAAGGCAAGGAAATACAACTACAGTAAAAGCAATCTGCACGGATGAAACTGGAAAATGGCCTAGATCTGCAAAAAGTGCCTCAGTACCTGTGAAGATTCATCAGTCACCAAAATCATGACAACAGTTTCAGTGCAAGTTTAGTAAACCTTAAATTTGGTAACTTAAAGAAAATAGTTGGGATATCAAATTGATATTAAGTTTACCTGTGATACTAAGCATAATACCCCCAAGGGAGGTCCATCCATCTCTCCCTCCCCTCTTAAAATATCGGTATATGTGGACAGGTGAAAATGCTCTCAAGACACTGCGATCATATTTCCAAATATTAAATATGCCAATGCCTCCAATTACAAGAAACCAAAGGAGCACAATCGGTGCAAAGAGCCAGCTAACTCGATCTGTACCATAGTGTTGCATGCTAAACAAACCGACTAAAATTACAACAGCGACAACCACAACAACATCTGCATAATGGAAAAAGAAAATAAGAAGCACAGATCTTATAGAAAGGTGGCCAAACATTATAGAAAGAGCTTAAACTTGAGGCGGAAAAGAATGAATAATGGCTAAGGAACAGTATGGAGATACCATTGCTCATGCGTGGATGGTCTACTTTGATGCCTCCAGCTGCTGAAAGAACTGCCAAAGATATCAGACATCACTCAGGAAGTCGTAAAAGAAGTGTACTGATATTAGCAAATAAATGACATATTACACAATTTCCATGTGATAAGTAAAATTGGTAAAGGCTTAATACTGATAAAAAAGCACTGGCAATAAATGGCAAAGGCTCTGTCATTTCAATCAGACAGTTAATGAAGCTGGAATATATACTTTTTTGCAGGTTTAATAGGTGTGGTAGCTTCACTAAGCAAGTCTTCAAAGTGTTTGGATTTAGCCATAGGTATAGATGCAATTTTTCCAAATTTGGTGGAAAAATGGCAATTTGAAAGAATTATGATAGCAAAAGTGAGGATGAGTTTGTAGGTGCCTGCCCAAACTCATGATTCTCTATGAACAACTTGCTCATGTCAAATGTATAATGTGATACTTATCAGTATAAAAATAGGACTCCTTCATTGGCTTTTTGCAATCTGCATTTAAAAATAAGATTTTATTAGAATATGAGCTAGCCCTGGATTTTAAATACAATCCTTTGTTAGGAGCATAGCAGATAAGAGACTCCAAGTCATTTTCACTCCAGCAGATGGTCATATGTACATACAAAAGGACGCCTATCCTGTGTACAAAGTTTTAGATATCAACAATGATGGAGACATTGGTAGACTAAAATTTTGAAATATATTTCTTCCTTCTAATCTCTAATTGGTTCCTTTAATCAGTAATAAATCAAGTGGATAAGTAAATTTTTCAGCTAAAGGGTTTTGATCATTGGACAAGCCTAATTCAGATTTCAGAGTATGGGAAGGTCTTCATGCTAACAATGAAGAAAATTGAACAGCTAAAATAATTCGGTAACTAAAATTCCTTGACTTTCTGATAATATCAGGGTCACAGAAGAAGCACACATTTATCAAGTACCTGCATGTATGTACGTGTGAATTTTTTTTTTTCTAATTACACTTAAGCATAAAACAAATGGGAAGAAGCTAATGAAGATTGGTCAAGCAGCGTGATCCTTTTATCTAATCCTTGGAGTTCAAGCACGAGATATATAAGCAAAATACCTGATATTGCTGGAGTGAGTATTCCATCACCGATAACCATGCATGTACCTACCAGGACAAGAATAAGAAGTGCATTCTTCCTGGATACATGTCTCTCCAACCATCTCTTTGTTTTAGCAGCAAATGATTTTTCATGAAATGTAGAACAACTGTAAGTTGTTAGCTCCTCATCAGTCCTGTGTTGATTTGGAATGGTTTTTATTTTTGCATGTCTACAAAGCAACGAATATAGAGCAAATGTTCCACCTGCATGACAAATAGGGTGAATGTCATTCTAACGGTGCCTCATGAACATCAGAAAAAAAAATGCATTATCTATATTTAAAGATAAGACATATACTAGTGTTAGTATCATTGGAGTGCACTTCGATAAAAAAGAAAATAAGTATTCAAGCCTATGATTCTGCATCCAGTGATGCATTAAGAAGCATTTCCTTATCAAAATCATGTCCCAGATTAAATTATAACATAAGTATCCTCATTCACTGATATTAGCTCACCTTGACCATTGTCATTAGCTTTACATACAATAAACACATACTTGAGGAGTGGTATAAGAGTAAGGGAGTATACAATCAACGAAAGAGCTCCAACAACATCCTCTGGATCTTCAATTTTACCAGGAAATGTATTGTAGAAAACATATAAGGGAGAAGTGCCCAAGTCACCATAAACCACTCCAAGACTTTGGAAAGCAAGCCGCAGAAGCAATATCGCGGAGGATTTCTATAGGAATTGAAACTGTATCAGAAACTACAACTGATCCAAATAACAAAAGAACTATAATATCGTCAAAATCCATTTATTTAATGAAAATTGGGTTTCATACACACTATATTGCATTTATCTCATCTCAGACCACTTGAAACGTATAGCAGACTGATAGAGTGATAGTACTACCAACAGAATGCGAGCCTGAAGCCAAATTACCCTGATATCTAAACGGTGAAAATGAGGCAGAGATATATTTAAAGAACTCCATGCCCTTTGGAAGTTTCAATATGATGCAAAGGAAGGGCTTTTAAATCAGTTCCCCTAATAAGGTAATGTTTCATTAACATGAATCAAGAGCTACTTTATTTCAATTAACTGCAAAAGAAATCTTGTATCTAGAAAAGAAAGACATGAAGAGAGAGGAACTCAAAATAGGAAATAACAATTGAAGCATACCTTCTCCCTGTACATGTTTCTAAGCCTCCCAGCCTCCTCATCCATTGGCTGATCAAGCTTCTGATCCAAATCCCACATGCTTCCCTTGTTGTTGTCACTATCTTCATCAATCTCCAATGCCATTTCCATGCTGAATCAATATAATTCTCTAGCTAACACTAATTACTTAAAACTTTCTCAGCATCCGCTGGATTGATGCCCACAGAACTCAACTTCAAAATCCTAAACCGTACCAATTTTATTTTACAGGTCCTAACCCAATTGTTCAAATCTAATCTTCAATTGAAATCCATAAACAAACCGACTGAGAATTGGAAACTACCAACAAAATCCTGAAAATGAACTAAAACCAGAATCTATTGGTCCCGATGTAAAACAAAGAAAGACACGGCAAAATTCAATATCTAACGGAAATTCAGCAACTTGGAATTGAGAGGATCTCAAACGTTGAAAAGGAGCCAAAACTACAATAAATTAAAAGCTCATATTAAGTAGTTGAACTCTAAACCCAATTTGGTGCAAACATGCTCAATATATACCAACAATGAACAAACACTTGGCAAACACCCCGCAATTAAATGAAGGGTAGACCATCTCCAGAGATAGGTCATACACGTAATCCAAAAAAAAAAAAAAGGCATAAATGAATGATGTAAAAACAGACAAAGAAATTTTAAATTAATCACTGCAAAAAAAAAAAAATCCCAAAGGTGGGGTCAAGTTAAACATCGATCACAGGATCATCTACCACCAAGAACAAACTAAACCCAAAGTAAAAATCTTTATCATACATACATATATACATACCCCGTTGAACCAAACCAAAGCACAAGTGAGAGAGATAAACAAAAACCCAAGTCGGTTTTGCCTTGAACAACTCTACCACAGATACAAGAGATTTTGTTTCTTGCAGGTTGTCAGTTAAGTTTCTTTCTTACTGCAAGAAAAATGTAATTAACCAAAACTCTCCGGCAGCTTTTTGAGAGAGAGAGAGCCAGAGAGGACATGAGGAGTGGAAGTGGTTGGTTTTGCTTTTTGTTCTTTTGGTTTTTGTTTTTACTATTACTATTATGCCGAACACGTTTGTTATGCTAATTAATACTAAAATTTTATATGCTGATTATCTTTTTCTTTTTTTATATAGTGTTGATTGGAGGTGAAAAAATATCATCTGGGGAAGGTATTGTAGTGCTGATACTATTAAATGAAAATAACTTTTTTAGTTTCCATGTGAGCTATGCTACTGATATAATTCTTTCTACATTCATGGGGTTTTCCCCCTCTCTATTTGCAAATTGTACTTACTATTTAATTAGATGCTAATCTCTCTATGTGTTGTATCTTTATTAATCTATATATATATATATATTATGTGCTAAGGCCTAATCATCTACTAACTATGTGTTTAATATTTTCTGTTCTTGGGTTTGGAATTTGACATGCATTTTGCAAAGTTTGAAATGTTGGTTTTGAAGGCATTTGTATTGGTGCAGCAGCCTCCGAGTGCAAAAAAATCTTGGGTAAAATAATAGAATAGTTAATGAACTAGGTCGCAAATTAAGTTTAACAGGATGCTGGAACTTCTTTCTTCTGATCCTGCTACTTGAAAAAAAAAAAAAAAAAGTAATGCATCATGTCAACTCAATGGGGTCTTCAGGAAATTAATTTCCTGATTAACATCCGATTCTTATTCATGGAAAAATAATAACTTATTAGGAGTGAGTGAGGCACCCACTTAATATATTTGTTTCCAAGGAATATGCTTCTAAAAAGATAAATATTCTGAAAGGGTTGCCGTCATAAATAGTGGAAACCAACCCCCAACTATATATCGAGGACACAACACAATCATATCTTTTCTGGTTTCAAAATGTAAAAATTTACCGACAAAGATTGGTTCAATTGCCATCCTTCTCTCAAATATAAATATTTTGGTGCAAGTTCGATCGATGATGTTTTATGAGATTATTTTAAATGTAGGATTTATAATTATTATTTTTAAATTATAAAATATAATATATTTTATTTTGATTTAAAAAATTAAATAATTTATTTATTCTGAATTTTTTAAAAAAATTATAAAAATTTAACTCTTCCATTCAAAGAAGGAATTGGGATTTTGCGAAGTACATATGTATTATTTGGACGCTTGGGACTGGGGCTTTAATTTGTCAGTACTGTAATGTAATATGCTGATGATCATCTAGTTTTTTTTTTTTTTTTTTTGGGTTAACAAGAATATATATGAATTTAGACTTTGATTCTTAATATGTATGCGAGCATGCTTAATTACACATGTCTTCATTTGTTAAAAAAGAAAGCATATATAGAATATCTTAGAATCATAGTTAAAAGTATAAACCATGAAATGGCGCCTGGCTCTGCTTGAAGAATGAAAGAAGAAATTAATACTAGTCCTACTATATATATATATATATATATATTTGCAATATGTCTGTATATCATTGTTTTACACGAGAGAGAATTTGGCTCAATCATCTTCTTCTTCTTGGGTCAGCTGGATATATATCTATATATGCCATCATTCGATTGATTTAGATTATTAACACTATAATAATCATTACTACATGAGTTTAGGTCTTTAATGATTTTTTTTTAAATGTCATTAAAATATTCGTGATATTTATCAAAAACGTCACTAAAAATATTGATTATACCCACGTTGGAAAAAAATAGTAATGTTTTATAAAAAACGTCATTAATTTAATGGCATTTGCAAGCACAATTGTCGTTAATTTAGTGGCATTTGTATTAAAAAAATGTTACTAATTTAGAGGCGTTTGTATAATTAAACGTCGCTCTATTGAGCGACATTTATAAGGACAATAGCCGCTAAATTAATGATATTTGTATAAGAAAAATACCTCTTAATAAAGTAGCGTTTAATGATACAAACGCCTCTAAATTAGTGGCATTTGTATAAAAAAACGTCACTAATATAGCAATATTTTTTTTTATACAAATACCACAAAAATTTGAATTTAGTGACGTTTTTTAACATAAACGTCCCGAAATTAAGAAATTTAGTTTTTTTAAAAATTTTATTCTTATATTTATTATTATCACTAAATAAAAATGTTAAAAGAAATAAAAACGAACTTCAATTCATAAACTGAATATTATAAATACATAATTTATTCAAATATTCATGTAACACAAAGTTTAATAATACATGCTATAACATTCAAATTACTTTAGTACATTAACCAAAAAATTTAAAATATATAAAATTGATGACTACGTAGATTTGGAATACTACCATTTGATGAAGGATTTTTTCTACCTTGGTCACTAGCATATTCAAAACCTTCTGAATAATATCATACAAGTTTTAAAAACTTAATAATAACCTATTATTTATAAATAATTACTAAATATAATACATGAGTTGGTAAATTACTTAGATTAGTTCTCGAAAATTGTTGTTGCACAAAATTCATAAGAGTATCAAATCGATCATACAATTGCAGAAATTTTACACACTCTTGATCCATTCTAGCACGTTCTATTTCAATTTTAGTACGCTTATGTTCTCTTTCTACTTTCATTTATTGAAAACGTTGTTGCATAATTTGTAACTCCTCTCTTAATATGTATCTCGTGAAAATTGACTTATCGAGAATGTAAATTGCTAAAAACTACATCTATAGTAGTTAGATGGTGTTGGACCCAATCCAAGGCCTTAGACCAGTCCATGTTTTTCTTTTCTAGCAACTTATGTGAAAATCTAATTTTTTTAATTCTTGTATGTTGACAAAACTATCATATGCAACTTCAATCTCAATGGTTATTTTCTCTTTCACTTTCTCCTGTAAATTAATCAGATAAAACTATCAAGTTTAATAATTAATTTATAATATGTTTAAAATACTCAATATTTACTTTTTGTATACAACATACATAACAAATTACCACAATTTCTTGTGTTTCGACATTCAGGTAAGATCCGTATTTTTTTGTATGGGTTAATTGAAAAAGTTACGTTTAATTTTTTCACCCATCTCAATCTCCTATATAAAAACATATGTAATTGTTAAATACATATCAACCGCAACTTATTCATTCATATCAAGCCTGTTAATCAAAAATTCGAATAAGTTCAATATCATGTATTTAATCTATATAGATTATTAAAATAGAGATATAATTGTAAAATTATATTTTTACCTTTAAATAGCACAAAAGTCTTAAAGAAATGTAAACAATAAAAGCATTTAACCTTTCACACATATCATTCATAGAAACCAAATTCAATCATTTGGACAAGTTTAATATCATGTATTGAAACTATCCAAACTATTAAAACATAGTAAATAACAACAGCTTTGTATTTTTGTCTTTGAAAGGCAAAAAAAGTCCTAAACAAAGATAAACAGTAACTTTGTCACATATATCAATTGTGAAAACCAAGTTCAATCATTTAAAAAAGTTTAATAGCATGTATTGAAGCTATCTAAACTACTAAAACAAAACAATAACAGCCAATTTGTATTTTTACCTTTTAACGGCCCGAAAAATCCTAAACAGAAGTAAACAGTAACTTTTTCACATATATCAACTGCGAAAACCAAGTTCAATCATTTGAAAAAGTTTAATATCATGTATTGAAGCCATCCAAACTATTAAAATAGAATAATAACAGCAAATTTGTATTTTTACGTTTTAAAGGCAAAAATAGTCCTAAATAGACGTAAACAATAATTTTTTCACACATATCAACTGTGAAAACTAAGTTCAATCATTTGAACAAGTTTAATATCATGTATTCAAGCTATCCAAACTATTAAAATAGAACAATAACAGTAATTTTGTATTATTACTTATTAATGGCATAAAAAGTCCTAAATAGACGTAAACAATAACTTTTTCATGCATATCAACTGTGAAAACAAAATTCAATAATTTGGATAAGTTTAATATCAGGTATTGAAACTATCAAAACTATTAAAATCGAACAATAACTAAAAATTTGCATTTTTACCTTGTAATAGCACAAAAAGTTGTAAACAAACATAAATTGCAAATTATGACACATATATCAACAATATAAACCAAGTTCAATCATTTGAAAAAATTTAATATCATAAACTTACTATTTTTTTTTTGCTTTCTTACAAAACTTTTTAATCTACTTGTGTGGCTATATTTCTGTTGCTTTCTATTGTCAATCCCAATTTGTTCTATTTTTTGTCATAAAAAATAATTGCGTATATAGTAAAAATACAAATATTATCAACTTAAATCATAAAACGCTTTTATTATTAAAACTAGTACCAAAGTTATAAATTAGTACCTCTCATTTTCTTGAAAATCAAAATCTAACTAATTGTTCATATTGCCACCTAATCACATTACGTGGTATATTTTTAATTGTGGCCTCTACAGTACTATTTCGATCAAAATATTTTTTCTTCAAATTATGCTTATAGTATTTCCATTTCTTTCCCAATAACTTAAGCATAAATGAAGTTGGTATTTCAAGTACAAATCTTGACTGTAATAATACAAAAAAAAGTTTTAATCAATAAGCTAAATTTAAAATAATTAATTTTTTTATATGTAATTAATTATACTAATACCTCAATAAAGTTTAAAGCATCAGCCTTAACTTCGGTTGAAACTTTATTCCATGTTTCATAATGAATAGGCAATTTCATGCCATTACAAGCAATCATGCCTAGAAATTCAGCCAACAGTTGAGACTCTTCACTAATTGGTTGCCTATCAGAGTTTACAGACATTACAATGCACTTATTCGTAGGTAATGCAAACAATTCCTTCAAAGTTGTATGGTTTTGGTCCTCCATTGACCATTGTTATTAACTGCAAAAAATAAAAAATTAATTTGTAAATTACGTATACTTTAATCATTATAATCGAAATCTAAATATGGGGTTTATGATACCTACATTCAAATTAAGAGAAGAATCAATTGACGGGATATATCTAAACCTATACCTCCTATATTACCATATCCAATATTAGTTGAAAGGTTAGAAGTGACTAAGTTAGAACCAACAATACGTATATTCCCCTTCAAATGATTTAGTCCATAGCTAAGATCAACTAGTGTCGCAGACTATTCTGAACTAATATCTATAATATTTATTCATTTCAATCTGCTCTTCTGCATTGTAGCTTAGTTGCATCGTAAAAGCGAATATATTAAAAACATATGTAAAGAACATATATAAAGACATTGAGAAGTTAAGAAATCATAACCAACAATATATAAAGAACATATCAATTTAATTAAATTAAAAGATAATATATGACTTACAATACAATAATTAAAATAAAAGTGAATGCAACATAAATTACATACAAACATTTATTACATTATGTTTTAAATACTTGAATTACAAAATATGAATGATCCATCATGGTTCATAAATGCCTTAATTAACATCTTCACGAACCCACTGAGCAGAGGTACTGAAGATATTTTTATCTAAGTTTTATTTAACAAAAGGAAAACATTCAGTTCCATGTTTAACATCATCTTTGATATCTGACGCCATATCAAATAAGTCTCTAGGTATGTTTTAAAGAATAACAAACCAGCCCAATTCTTTGGAGTCTTGAGAATAAAAAACTTATTT